GGAGCCTCGTCACTGATCATGACTCTGCACGTTTTAAATGCTCAGCTTGAGGTTGTTTATTGAAGCCTTTTATCAGAAGAGCACGTTTCAGGTTATAAACAGGATAAAGCAAATCTACTGGTTTGTTATTTGAGTCTGAATTTAATCTATCTTGAGCTCACTTGATGGTGATTTTTGTTCATGTTCCGGCCTGCACTGATTCTATTCACCCAGGAACGGTGGGAACTCATGAAAAGATCCTCCTCACTGCACATTTAAGCTTTTAGTCCCAGTTTCTTTAAACAGAAATGACACTTTGGATTCTGGATCCTACAGAAAAACAGGGAAACCTGTTTAAACCCACCAAACATAAACCAATCTGCTCTCAAGCCAAAACAAGGAAAAGTTCAAACTGAACCTGCATCCAGACATGATTGTGTCTGCAGCTGAGTGAAGACGCTGGTGGAGGTGAAGAGGAGGATCTGGAGACGCCCACCTTTACAACCTGTGACTGCAGGCTGCAGCCAATCAGCTGCCAGGAAACACAACATCACAACAAGAAAACATGGCAGAACAGGAGGAAGACGAGATGAAACCGTCTATGAATGAATATGACTACAATCAACATGTTTGCTTTAAAGCAGCTTCTCCACAGAATCTATAAAAGCGGATGTTTCTGACCTGCAGTGACTAAACTCTAAGTTGGACTGGCAGCAGTACACATCATCACAACAGCTTTTCTAACAACCACAACAAAAACAGATCTTCAGTGTTTACGGTTTGAGCTGGTTCCAGGTATGTGGGTCCGGGGATGACCTTCAGCTGTATGTGAAACAAATGGACATGAAGCCTCCTGAAGACCTGTAACATGGAGTTGGACTGAGATGATCACAGTGGCAGCAGACGTACGTTTCAAAGCTTTATGAGCTTTTACATCCCACACACACAGTAGTTCACTTTTATTATCCCTGCAGACACCAGTTAAAGCTCCACGGTGCTCCTCTGGCTGCGTGGTGGCGAGCTGCCCTACTTTAATGCCGGGAACAACTCCTCTTATCGTTTATTAAACAAACACAAGTATGTAGGCCATGGCCAGCCCGCTGTCACTCAGTAACCCGCCAACAGGCCGCCATTCTCTGCCTGAATAGGAGGGCAGACTGGCTGACTCGGCACATTTCACTCCATTCATCTTCAAAAATAATCACACAATAGCTGCCAACTGCTGGCCGGTGACCTTCAGCTGGTCCTCCTGCATTGTTGCTGCAGGCCTCCATGTTAAGCCAGTGTGGTCCTCTCATTGGTCTGCTGCTGCCCTGACCTCACCCTGTACCTGCAGACGGGTCGGGGGAGGAGTCGGGAGGAGCTGCACTCATTGGTGGCTTCTTATCGACACGAGCTCACCTTCAGCCCGTGTCTCTGTTTTTGTTTTGGAATTTTCCAGAAGCTGCTGTGGTTCTGCCCAGTCGGCCTGCTGAGATGCTCACAGGTCCTGAATGACTGTCATCAGATGAATCGTCATGCTCAGAGCTCAGGTTTGCCACCTGATGTTTTATATCACACCTTTAAAAAAATCAGTAGTTTTATTGTTCGTTTTTATTTTACAGATATTTTCCCATATTTTTAAAATACATTAAAATATTTACAAAATTACAAAATTATTTCCTATAATGATAATAATAACAATAATAATAATAACAATAATGATTACATGTTTTTTATGAGATGGTCGGTTGCCATTATTGTGCAGTTTTTTGTTTGTTTGTTTTGGGCTGCCTGAATAATAGAGTTTTTTGTTTTGTTTTTTGTACAGTGCAGCTACATCATATATGTACATATAAATATATATATATACATACATGTACATACATACATGTATATAATATGTTAGAAAACAGTAAAAGTGAATAAAGTACTAAATGACCCCAACTACAACTGGAAATGGCAAAAATCACACAAAATGGCATAAAAATACAATAAAGTAAAAACCAGTTGCAGTAAAATTAGAAATGCCAAAACCCAGAAACACCAAACAACCAGATCCAGATAGAAACGGACCAGAGGAGTCAGTGGGGTGATGAAGGTGTGATCAGGTCTATGAGCAGCCGTAGGGTGACCCTCATTCCTCTGGCAGGTCCCAGAGCCGCGGGCTGCTGTTTAAAAAGCTCTTTACTGGTTCACCAAACCCTGTGATGAGAAGGAAGAATCATCTGTTAAACAGGCTGGAAGTCAGGAGGCAAAGAGCTGCAGTGGGGGAAGGCGTGGACGTTCCTCTGGTGCTGGATGTTCTTCTACAGACATGCACTGAGCAGCTGTCTCATGTCAGATCATAAACCTCCCACAGCCTTTACTGGTGATACTGGTTCATATCAGCTGGTTGTGAATCCAGAGTCTCTGCAGGGATTCATGAGAACTGTCACTGGAGCTCTCATGTCAAAGTCTATGAAGATAAGGCTGAAAACATCAGCGTTGTCCTCTCTCCTCAGATGGCTCTGCACATATGAAGTTCTTGCTGTTGTGTTTGGGGAGACACATGGAGTTTACAGAACTCTGTGTCCACCCATATCTGTGTCTGTACATGTTTGCGTTTAAAGTTTCAGTTTAGATCTCAGCCACTGAACTCTGACTGTCTCTGCCACGGCCAGATGTTCCACCAGAACACTGGGAGGGACCGGCATGAAGCAAAGGGGGTCAGTGCATGCTCCCTCCTCAGACCTTTGGTTTCCTGCATTCTGGTGAACATGAGGGTTAACCCTGACCCTGTCTGCTGCCTTTCTGCATGGGTTCATGTGGAAACGCCTTCGTCTACGTACAGAAAAACTTCAGGTGTCATTATAGTAAAAGCTGTAAATACTGAGAGCCTATGAGATGCTCACATTTTATAGTTTACGCCCAGTACCAGCCTTTCAGGAGGACT